CCCTAATCATACCCCTAATATGAGTTAATTTTTTGTTAAAATAAATAATTTGTTTTAATGCCTTGCAATTATTTAAAAAAAACTACCCAACACCCAACAGTAGGTGCTTGCATTAACTTTTTGGCATATTGAAATTTTGACATTTGACCTTTGACATTTTCCAAAAATTCCCTGAACCTGGAAATTGTTTTTTAGTTTTGATTTTTGTAAAAAAAAATTGTATAGGTACCTACTTTTAATTCTTTTTTAATTTTTTTATTATTTTAGATTTACATAATACAAAAAATACAGTGTGACCCATTTGTTTGCGACTCACCCATGTAAAATCCTTATTTATTGTGCGTTTTAACCTGATTTGTTTTAAAGTGCAGATCTTAATAAACTGTATTTTTGAGCAAAAAAAACATATTTTTACAAAATAAAAGGGCCTACTATGTTAGTGTTTGAGAGTAAATTTTTAATAATTCATATAATCACTGCACTGGATTCACTACCCCTCAACACGACCCTTTATTGAAAATTTGTGGGAACGATTTTGTAGCCAAATTAAAAATGAATAATAATTACTATTTTCAATAACATTTTCTGTCGTTATCTATGAAAAAACATTTCAATAAAATTAAACTAATAGTAATAGTAACATGGTATAAAAATTCCTTTGCTTAGTTTTGCCAAATAAAAAACGGAATAGAAACTAAAAATAACAATGAAACAAAAAATAGAGAATTTAAAAAAATCTCTACAATTAGATTTTCGTTACCTCTACTAATCCACCATATATTTCACATTCATTAATAGTAATAAATAAAGATTTTATAGGGGTTAATTATTGCTATACATTTTTTGTACATAAAATAACCTGTTTTCTTGCAAAACTTTATTTATTTACTTTATTTATTTTGTTGGCGACAATTTAACTTTTTCCTATTCTTATTACGTCTGGAAAGCGAATTATTGGGCAATAGCATTTTATGCTTTAACTTTTTAAAAGTCAAATACGACTTCCCGACGTGAAAACAGTTAAAAGAACAATTCATCCTGCGCGAAACAGCAAAAATAGTCGAATAAAAGTCGGGACACAATCAAGTGGCAGTGGAAAACAGATTCGGGACACTACCGACTCAGACATCTTAAATTATTCCAATTACTTTGGGTTTTCTTCTTTCGGTTTCTTCTTTTCCGTTTTTTTGCACCTCGGTTACTTGGTGTGATCCTAACGCTTTATATTACCACCATTACCCTCGATTACTTGCGGAATTTCAATATTCATGCGAAATTCTTAAGTTCGGTTTGCTTAAGCCTCAAAGGATTTGGAAATTAGTTTTTTAATTTAACCAGGATATTGATTAAAAATCTACATTTGCGATTTTAGTTTTTTTATTATAATGTCTAAAATACACAGGGTTTTTTTTAATTTACAACTTTACTATACAGGGTGAGTCTTTAAACTTGAAACTTTAAAATATCTCAGTTGGTATGCATTTTACGAAAAAATGTTTAAAATAAAAATTAAATGATTCGAGGGGAAATCAAGCAGTACTAAAATATTTTTTCATATTTGTAATAGATGGCGCCGTAATGAAAAAAATAAATTTTGTTCGATTTTTATTCTTATACCTTCGATTCTGCAATAATTTTTCTATAAAAATATCACTTTTTTTGGTAATAATTATTTTATTAAATTAAATCTGATTTTTACGATTTTTTAACTAATATTTAAGTTTCCTTTGGTTTATGTTTTATAAATTATTTCATTCGGCGATAATAATTATTATCAAATGCGCACCATGGTCACTTTTTACCTGCCAGCATTAAATCCTTTAATTTAAAGGACTCTTGTACTGTTTTTAATAAAAATACCTCGTTTAAGGTAAAATAAAAAAACATTATTTTTTCAATTAATTAATTAAATTCTAATTGAGGTATAAAAAACAAGTTAAAGCAAACTTACAAAATTTAAAAGAATATATATTTTTTATTTATTTTAAACAATGACGATATTATTTAAATGGATAGTTATAAATATTTTTTTTTCAAGCGGCCATGATATACAACCTTATATGCATGTATAGAGATAGTTGAAGTGCGTCTTTTTCATTAGCGGCAGACAAAAAACTCAAAAAAGCCTAGGGATAGAAGTAAATCCATAGGTGACTCAATATACGTCAAATAATAAAATTTATTTAGCATTTCATACAAAGCAATCACGATGTATTAATTATATTAATTATAATCGCACGGAATATTTAGTGATTATTTATTAAAGTTTAATTGAACTAAATAAAGAACAACTAGTTTATTAGTATAATATTATGATGATAGACGAGTCGCCAATGTCGGAACTCCAAACAAATGTCAGTACGTCAAAATTAATTCAAGCGCAGCATTTTGACAGAGCAGTGTTTATTTTTAGTTTAGGATATTTATCGGCATTGTAAGTAAGGGTTATAAGTTTTTTTAGTTTTTATCAATAATTTGTAATGCTTTTAGCCAAAATTTTATACCACATGAGTTATAAGTAAATCAAATAATTCTATTGCTTATTCTATTTATATCACGCCCTTGAAAAAAAAGATTGTATAAGTATGTTATTTGGAGTAGAAGCTCTTTTTGTGCTTCGTACAGTTGCCTGCCTCAGCTACGCTTCGGCCGTCAATCTCTGTACTCACCACAAAAAGAGTCACTTCTACTCCTTATGACATAATCTACTATTATATCATTAAAATGTCATTTAGGCATGGTTAAATGACATGAAATATTTTAAATTTGTTTTTAAACCCTGTGTTTACATGTAACACTTGTAACACTTATTTAAAATTACAAGAAATAATGAAAAATATAGTTTGTTTAATATTTTGAGAACCGTTGTATTTTTTTTTGGATTTTTAAATTTTATTTTAATAGGCTTGTTATTACGGAACTTTTGTCTGGTATAAATATTTTGAATTTTGAACAGTACAAATTTAAATAGTTATTTATGTCATTAGGTTAAGACGTAAGGCTTTTTGTGCTAAACTCAAGGTTTGAAGGCCGACGCGTAGCGGAGGCCTACAACTGAGCGAAGCACAAAAAGGTACTTCTTGGCCGAATGGCATACAACATTTTATCTTCAAAGCACTTTATATTGGTCAATTTAATTCAACATCAAAGCTGCCTAACCTCACTTTTTTAGAATCTCATTTATTTATTAGCTAAAGATTACATTAAATGTACAATAATTTTTATTGCTTTTAGAAGCAGTAATAGTTTGACAATACCTAGCAACATGATTAAAGTAGAAATGGATTTTTGCTATTACATTGAATTCAATTAATTGTTTAATAGGTAGGTATCTAATTTCAATTTGTTTGGATTTTTATTTAAAAAATAGATAGTCTGGAATGTTTAAGCTGTGTTTAACATTTAATTTCACTAAAAACTTAAAGCAAATTAAAACTTAAAGATAATTTAAATCGTAGAAAAAGAATCGTGCGTTTTTTTGGTTGCCTAACCTCACTTTTTGTTTTATTATTCAGGTATTTAATTTTACAATAATTTAATGAAAAATATTAAGGCCATAACAAGGTATTTATTTTTCGAATGTTGACAACAATAAAGTTTAAATTATAGACCGCGTGGAGATAAAAATATTTACTTACCTACGTCTTAAAAAAATATTTTGTCCTGTTTAAAAATTGCTGGGAAATGAAAGAAATAAATCAACAGTATAAATTTTAATTTTATTAAAATGATATACAATATGCTTAACAATATGTTTATGCTATTCTATACAAAACATAGGTAATTAATAATATTACATAATACAGTTATTATAGTATTATACGAACAACTATTTCGTTACTAAGTAACAGATTTGTTTAACAACTGCCCAATATTCAATATTAATTAATTAAATAATTATAATTATTTTATCCACCAATAACATGTAAATAGACCCATTATAATATTATTAGAGCCAATATTTTAAAGGTTTGAGTACATTTTAGTTTATTTAACAGTAATTATCATTATGGACGGTTATATATACAATTAATAAATAGACAATATGTTCTATTACATATTTCGTAAAAAATGTGTAATAAAATCCTTAAAAATAATTTAATTGTATGTATGTATATACAACAAATTGATTATATACAAAATTGTATGTCAAACTTACTAATATATATGCATGTACAAGCTAAATTTATCACAGATTACAAATATAATTACCCTACTTTGATTCTACACAATAAAAAAATATTTTTACGTAAAAATTTATAAATTTCGTTAAAATTTAGTGCAAATACAATAGTAAGTTTGTTTTTTCTCAAGTGATATATATTGCACTAGCCCAACCACCGAAAAAGTATATTTACATAGAGTAATAAATGAAAATAAGAAAACCATATTATATAGGCATATAAGACTTAAATATATCTTAAAAATAAATGGTAATATCAAAAAATATAATGAGCATTATATACAATGTACAACTTTAAAAGCATTACAGTGGGCCACTAAAATTTTTAACCAATAAATTTCTTTCAAGGTATTTATTTAACAACGCGAAATTTAATGTTTAAAAGTAGCCCATTATTATTAATTAGACTAGTTTAAATTAGGGTGGCCCAAAAAACTAATAATTGTTTTATCTCGCAGAACATGATATTTAACATGTTTTTTCTACTCCTATTATGGAATATGACCGTTCTAATATCACTTTTATCTATGGAATGACATTTATTCCGTAAAGTGTTACAGAATGAAATATTCTATTATCTGATGAAAGAATATACACTAGTGGCGACATCTCTGTTTTTAATATGTAACAAATTTTAGACCGATCCAACCTCACTTTCTTCAAATTAAATTATTTGTCTATGGTATTTTTTGGAAACGTAGAAAAAGTATAGTCTGAAACACATGTGGAATTGCATATTTCGCTCTCGTGAAACCGTCTTCACTCGAGCGGAATATGCTGTATTCCAAACTTGTTACAGAATATACTATTACAAATGCTCAGCTTGATTAAATCAGTTTTAATTTTCAAAAAATGTACCTATACATTTTATTCGTTATTTTATTATTTACGTTAAAACCGTTTGACAGATGTCAGTTTGGAAAAAGTGAGGTTAAAACCGCTTGACAGTTGGCAGATAAAATGTCCTTGATGATCGAAAAAGTATTCGTTTTCTGGGCCACCCGTTTATATGCTTCTTAGCAAATATAAAAAATAACATTTTCCTCTAAATACATTAAAGTTTTTGATTAAACAACTAGTTTCGTTAACATACTTTTGATTTACTCTAAAATTAAAGATGTTGTTCTATCTGTACTTGGGTTAGTTTTTCGTAATTTTATTGTAGCGAAATTGTTAGACCTGTAAAAAAATCACCAACACCTTAATAAAGTATAGCCAACATAAAACATGCAAAACAATAAATTATATTTAACAATAGCAAAATCATGCATTTTATTTTCTAACTGATGAATCTAAGCCCCATAGATCGTACCATGGCCCGTACATGTTACCGTTGTGTGGGGACCTTTCGTCATACTTTGCACCGTATTCAGGGTTTTTGAGCCTTTTTTGCAAGGTTTCACCATAGTCCATCAAACCAATATCTTGCTCATATTTGTTGGAGTTTGAACTGTTAGTTTTCGATAGTTTTGTTCTTGGTAAAAACTGTCTATTCTCCACTGCATCTGATAGCTCGTCGTTTGTGGAATCATAGTACTTCATCTTCTCCTTCTTGTGGCTATTATTTTGACTTTTGGAGTTTCTATTTTTCTGTTGCACTTCGCCGTCTATGCTTTCGTAGCTGGGTCTTCCATGTCGTTCTTTATTGTTATTGTTATTATTGGACTTTTTAATCCGGTGTGTTTTATCCTGCGTGTTGTTATTATCGTTGTTTTTCTTTTGGTTGTAATATCTTTCCTCTTCTTTTTCGCCATTTTCGTTGTTAGTTTCCACTCCAAAGGTTTTGAAACTGTGGCGCTTTTCCCTGTATTGTATGATATCTTGGTTTTGGATTTCAGTGTTCAGCTTTTTCTCGATATTATTTCTACTATCGTGCCTCATATTTATGTTGTTTTTCTCCTGGATGCTGTTACGAATCTGCTGATTGTTCATGTTGTTTTCCTTATTTGGAGAATATTTACTCGACTTGGATAGCTTCTCCAACTTTTTCCCCAATTCTGCCACATTCGGAAATCGATTATCTTTAACATTCTGATCATCAACAACAATGCAGTCGTATGGATCATCACTGGTCACATCAGATTCACTGCCTGAATCTGCTCCAGACGAATCGTTACTGTATTGTTGCAAGATATTCCTCCTATTCACCGTTTTTAGCATCAAACCGTCACCGTCATCGTCATAAAATTGGTCGTCGATTTTGTTTGATTTGACGACTTCGCGTTTTTCGTAGTCGAAATCTTCGTTCACCAAGTCTGGGTTGTGTCTTGGCGGTAGGGAAAGTTTGTGTTGTTTTTCAACTTTGACTTCGGATTTTTTACGTTCCTGGACCTTCTCATTTGCGTTCCCATTCTGTTTGACTATGGTTTTGTCTGAATCGTTGGATTTGTCGCGGGATGGGCGCCTTTCTCTACGAGGTTTATCGTTTTTGGTTTTTAATTTTTCCCGATCGACATCCACTAAATCTCTGTGTCGCCACAAGGCCATGCCTTCCAGAATATCCTCGGTCTTACCGAACTTCCAGAACGACTTGGTTCTCTTAACGATCTTTTTGTTTTCCCTGTTGTTAAAGTCGTCGTCGGACATATAGAAACGATTATCAACCAAATTCCCATGACTGTGACTTTGCTTCATGGAGTAAGACTTCCTGGGTAGCGTGCTACTAACATCCCCATTTTCCTTAGGCTTTTTAGATCTATGAAACAAAAATAATGAGCAACTAAACACATAAAGCTGTAGCGTCTACATAGTTAAAGATATTACAGGTACAAGTTTCCCAACCAGAAATTGTGCACATGATATAGCGGGAAATATATTGTATATACAAAGCGTTTTAGTAATGCATGTCGGAAGGGTAACCATAAAACTCATTTCCGTAGCTTCTGCGTTGGTAGTTTTGCGTATGGGATCTAAAAAAATAAAATAAAAAACATGAACAGCACGGATTTTCTGGGGGCATCGAAGCGGAAACTTGTGCGACAAACAAAGTTTAATTTGTCGTTTTATTTACATGTTTAACATGTTTAACTATGCAGAGCTATCCCTTGAGCATGCAAAACAAATATAACATCTATATAAATCGCACGAGTTAATGGTATATGTATATTAGAGTAAATATTATGTCATTAAATTTGTTATGGTTATAGCAAACAAAGTTGTATTTAGATTGGATATTTAGAGGGTGCCTCGAAAGAGTTAAATTATTGCAAAAATATGGAATATTGTTACAAATTTCTAAAAATAGTTATTTATGTATCACCAATTTAGAAATTATTTGCAGAAGCGAAAGCCGAGGCAAATAACCACGTGAGTGATAAAAAATTACTTTAATGCCTAGGTGCATACTCAATTTTATCCGAAATCATATTAAATAATACTAATAATTAATATTGATGATCAAATCAAATGTCATTTGAATGTAGGAAGTGTCTACGTATACTGTTTGTTGCGACGGTTATGATATATTTGCCCGCCGCGGCGATTTTTTAATCTAATTAATAAAATTATTTTTATTAAACAACATTTTATGAAAGGGTCCAATCGACCTCCGCGACGGTGCTTTTTTTTAAATATTATCTAGTTGCTGCTGAGTAGACACATCTTAAAATGCATAATGGGTTGCATACAATACTCGTATTAAATCGGCAGTAAAGTTCTACTTTACTGCCAATTTATTTTACTTTACTGCCGATTGTTGACTACTTTACTAAATATTTTTTTTAGATATAAATATAGAATTATGAAAAGAAAAAGAAAAACACAGAAAAACTATGTAAAATCATAAAAAAATAAATATATTAATTCCTAAAAAATCACAAAAAGAAATTAACAAAATTTTTAAACATAAAAAAATTTAAAATACAAAAATTGAGTTTGATTTTTAATTGTTTTAACCTAAAAACTACTTAAAATAACCTTATCTATAACCTGCTATGGTACTATACTTTATAAAATTAAGAAAAAATATAAAAATATACATTTGGTTTATTCCACCAAATACATTTTTATACAAATTATAAAAATACAAACAGTACATAATTTAAGTAAAACATTCTTATCTTTCAGAAAAAAATACCAAAATTAAAATAAAAATTGTCGCAGGACCAAAAAAATCGCATTTTTTACTTTAATGAATATTTTCATTAAAAAGCTAAGAATTGTTTACAAAAAAATATTATAGTTTGCATTTTTATAAAACATTATTTACATCCAAAAAAAATAACGAAAATTTAAAAAAAAATATATCAAAATTTAAAAAAATATGTGGTGAATATACAGGATGTCCCAGAGAAAAAGGAAACGTGCCAAAACTTATGCGAAACACATACATGAAAATTAAAATAATCTTACCCAAAGGATAAGTGTGATAAGAATAAAAAACGGTAGTAGTAGTAGGAAGAGCATAAGGGAAGTTGCAGGCGAATTTCCTGTTTACAGTTCAAGATAGTTGGATTGTTTTTTCTAATTAGTTTGTTTAAGTCAAATTTCTGTAATTTGTTGGAAACAGTAAAATTTTATATTTATCCATTTGCACAATATTGCCAAGAAAATAGTTGAAATCTGTTATTAAAAATATTTCAAAAATTAATGTTACTCTTTTGAACAATTTTTAAAATATTTTGTATAAATATAGTATAACTGTGAGTTAAAATATAAATTTTACAATTTTGGACAATTTGTTCGGGAGTGAAGCATCACACCACCTAAGATAACCAATGAAATGATTTCCCGATTGAAATAAGACGCCGCGGCGCTCAACTGCAATCTGCATCATCACTTTGCAGTTTTAGTTAGTGTTAGGAAGTGTATCATTGTGAGGTTAGTACCACTTTTCTGTTGAGTAATTATTGAATATTATTTTTCCGAATAGGTAGGTAGGTTTTTGCAAAATTGTTCAAGGACTGGGATAAATCAATAATTATGACCTGGTGATCAAATGAGGATAAAAAGTGTTTCTATTTTCCTACTGTGCTACATTATTGATCAGCTTACTATTTACTTTAGTTTGTAATTTATGTTTTCAGTTTATATTAACTTAATTCTATCCTTACAAAATTTTTGTGTTGGTCGCTGAATACATATTTAATCTATCGACATTTGTACTATTATAAGTGGAGACGCACTTCATGTTGAATTATATCTCAATAATATTAGAATTAGCTATACGAATTTTATTTTTTAGTTTGTAGTTATGTTTTGTTATGTTTATTTTATGTTGTCAGTGTCAGTTTATATTAAGTTTAGGTATTCCATTTTCCATATTTTTTGTTCCACCACAAAATATTATATTAAAAAAGTCTCTAAAATACTCATTTACTTACACAAATTAGATTAAAATATATTAATACAATTATTAAACCAAATCCAACAAATTTTTCTCTGTGTAACATTCCTTTTTGAGTTTTGGGACACCCTGTATAAAATCACTTATTATAGGTAACCATATTTTTGAGACACCCTAAATATCACACTGATACTTTTATTTATTGGGTCTATCTTTACAAATCTTTATAAATCCTTTAATAACTTCTGTAATAAAGAAAAACTTTGAAGTCAACAAATCCAGGAAACTTTCTGGAATCACAATCAACTCGTGCGATTATATGCAAACAAACAAAAAAAACACACAGCAAAACAAAAGAGAAACATCTCCATCAATAAAAGAATTCTCTATATTGTCGCAAAAGAATAGTACATTCTGTAACAAGTTTGGAATACAGCATATTCCGCTCGAGGAAAAATTTGACACACGAGCCGAAGGCAAGTGTGACGGTTTTACGAGAGTGGAATATGCTATTCCAAACGTGTTTCAGACATTATTTTCTCTACGACTACGTAAGAATAGTAACGCTTATATAATTTTAAACAGAGAAAAGAAACCAAGCAGTTTTTGACATTTAAGTTTTTTGTATTGTCAAACCATTTTGTGCCGTCACAATTTTATAATGTAAATTATAATAAATTTAAACAAATGGTATGCCTAAATCTTTATTATAATTAAAAATAGTTATTTACACTAACTAATAAAAAAAATAACATTGTAACAAATACAAAACTAATTTTACAAGTAATCTAATGTCAACATCTATTCTTTTTCTACATTTTAAAGGTCTTTTTTTAAACTTTTTGAATCTGTCAAAACTTCAAAGCCGGTATAGTAGGTAACTGGTTTATCATTTTAATATCAAATTTATTATAATTTTGATTTGTATATTTGAAAAACAATAAATATAACTAATTTTTTGTGCCTAAACCTTAATTATACAACTGCTATTATTTTTTAATTAGTAAATAATACAGTAATATTTAAATATTTTTAAATTTTTTACGTTTAGTAAACAGCCAGGAGATGTCGTTACTTGTGACCATTCTTAAACAAGAGTAGGAATATTCTCGCACAGTATTGCAGAAAAACATCCTTTCTATGATCAAAAATTACACTAGAATGTTACTATTCTTAAGTAGTCGTAGAGAAAAACCTTTCATTGACATCAAACTCACCTAGCAGGCAATTTGGTTTGTCCAGGCATAGAATCATCATCAGAATAGTCGATTTCCGGTTGTGGTGGGGGATCGTTGCTGAACCCGGAATCGTTACTGCTGTGCAAGGAGACGTTGCCCACTGGCCCCCCTATTTTCCCCCCTTTCGTTTGCAAATGAAGGGGCAAAGGGGCACCGGCAGTGGGCCTGTCGGATCTGGAAGGTTGCGGATGTGTGGAGTAAGCTCCTGAAGACGGTGTAGTGAAGTTGAAGGACGAAGCTGAAGTTTTCATGCCTAAGGAAATGAGAATATAATGTTTTTCGATGAAAAAAATATTAATGTTGTTTGGTAAATGGTACACCTAAACTCACTAAACTATAGTTTCTGAAATATATCTACATACTTACTTCCAGAAGATGGGAGATTCTGGAAGATATTTCAGAAACTAGAGTCAAAAGAAACAATATTATTATTATCACGACATTTTTGTTAAAAATGTATGCCTTAAGTAGAATATTAAACTTATTAACTTACCTGTTTGTTGGTAGGGTGATTGGAATGTTGAAATATCCATTCCAGTTTTAGTAAAGTTGGTGCTCTGTGATTGGGTGATTCCAGTCTTCTGATAGGGCAGTGAAGGGGTGGGGACAGGTGCTGGCAGTGCGGGGGGCGGTATATTGTTAGAACCTATCGCTCGCCGAATCTGTAACAATGAAAAAAAAAATGGTTATATGAAAATCATGGTAAAAGTAGTTTTTCTATTTAGAATATGTAATCTACAGAATGTTTCTACTCAAAATGGGGAATGTAATAGAAGTAGTAAATCTCATCTAGACTGACAATTTTTCAAATAAATATTTTTTATTATAGCTTTTATTTTCAGATTATCGACCTTTTTTTAAAATAAGCTTTTTATTAAATATCCACAATTCTTAATTTTTAAATCGGGCCATAAAAATGAAAATAAAGAAGTTTATTGTTTTGAGTAGAACACACTGTTACTAACATGTTACTAGACATATTATGTACTTACCTTAATACTTTTTATTATGTTATACAGGGTGTTTTTTGTTTTTAAAAAAGATTGAAATAATATAGTTAAAAAAATAAGATATTAAATTTACTGAAAAACTAAAATGTTAAAAACAAAAAATATTTAAAAATCCTTAAATTTAATGAAAAAATCAAATTATATAAAAAAAATAAAAACATTGTTTTGACCTGATACACAACAAACTTTTCTGATCCTTCATCCAGAAGACCATGGTCTCTGCAGAGATCTATGGCACGCCGTTTTAGCATTTATTAGATAAAAGTTTAAAGATTAAAGTTTATCACTTAAATTATGTTTTAACAGAAATTTATAAAGTAATATTTTTTTAAACTGAAAATAATTGATAGTCAAAATTATTTTAAATATAAAATGCAACAGTAAAAATTTATGTTTAAAAATATTGACTTTTAAAAGTTTTGGTTGTAATATTTTATTCTAAAAAAATATTGGTTTAAATTTTTAAAGAGTCATTTAAATGATAGTTGATAAATTTTTAATGCAAAAATTCTCACATTTCATTAAATGTAAGTTTTAAATTTTAAAGTAGTAATTTTTAGATTAAAAATTTATCGACTATCATTTAAATGACTCTTTACAAATTTAAACCAAATTTTTTTATTTTTAACAATTTTAAAGTGATATATTTTTAAGACAAAATTTATAACTTTACATTTAAATGTAAGCCGATAATTTTTAAATTACAAAGTGTAAACGTAGCTTTAGTAGAAGGCACAAGAGTCTGGGATCGGAGCCACGATGCAGTCAGTTTGATCCGTTGATGTTTTTTAATTGTCGAATTAACTTAGTACAATAGACACTAAAAATGTTGTTGTTACATTATTAAATTTATGTAATAAAGAAACATTTCATTACGATAATTTGTAAAACGCGTCAAATATTTATGGAGCAAGCACGATTTGGCAACACTGCGGATCAAAGTGGCTGCATCGTGGCTCCGATCCCAGACTCTTGTGCCTTCTACTAAAGCTACGTTTACACTTTGTAATTTAAAAATTATCGACTTACATTTAAATGTAAAGTTATAAATTTTGTCTTAAAATTGTATCAATTTAAAATTGTTAAAAATAAAAGTTATTGGTTTAAATTTGTAAAGAGTCATTTAAATGATAATCGATAAATTTTTCATGCAAAAATTACCACTTTAAAATTTAAAACTAACATTTAAATGTAATGTTTAAATTTTTGTATTGAAAATTTATCGACTATCATTTAAATGACTCTTTACAAATTCAAACCAATAATTTTGAAGAATAAAATATTAAAATTCCATTTTTTAAAAATTAATATTTTTAAACTTAAACTTTTGCAGTTGCATTTTATATTTAAAATTTTTTTTGATTATCAATAGTTTTGAGTTTACAAAAATTTAACTTTTTAAACTATTTTGGTAGAAAATGTTTTTTATGTGTTTTTATTTTAAATGGCTTGATACTATTTTTAAATACTAAAAAATTTAACTTTACCAAATTAATCTCAATAATTTTATAAAATATTTATTTAAGTTAACAAAATGCCACCCAAATAAATTATACTTGGGAAATTATTTTTATTAAAAAGTGATAGTCAGAAATTTTTTCAAAAATTGATAGAAAATAATATTCTTTAATACAGAAGTGAACTGTTGGTTAGTAAATTTTGTCTTTCAATACATGCTAGTAGAAAATATTATAAATTTATAAATGTAAACCCAAAATTTTTAGTTTGGAAAATTTTAAACCAATACAATTTTAAATTGAAAAATTATTTAATAAATGTTAAAACGGCGTGCCATAGAGATCAGCTAAAGAAGATTTGCTGGGACTGGTGTTAAAATTTTAGTAGGTCGAAAAAAAAAGTTTATTGATTCTGAAGTAACTGATTAAACTAATAACGTTTTAAAATTTAACAAGATTGCTTTAAGATCTCCTCTCTTCAAAGAGTGGTTCAAACAGAAGATGACGATATTTATCAACCAATACGAAATATGATAAGGAAATAATTATTTCCGGCTATTTTTTGAGGAAAGTAAGTTATAATGAATATGAATATTCCATTTATCAGTAAGAAATGGAGGAATAGGAAAAACTGACCCTATGCTAGGAGCACCAATTATGTCAAATTTTTTGAAGTTTGTATGAAATGTTTGTATTAAATACATACATTTTTAGCTTAGTATAATAACGACTGCCTGAATAGGGCTGACTCTTCTTTAAAGTCAGTACTTGGAAGGAGCAGCGGAATCTTCGTTGAAAGCCAGACAAGTAATGGTTTCGCACAGTGGGGTAAATTACTTGCGCATATCTGCTTTCTAACTTACATTGAAGCCAGCTAAGCATAAAAAATACTAAATATTTTAATTGAACAATTAAAATATTAAATATTTTTACTTTATTGTTTAAACTTGTAATCGTTGGTTCACCCTGTATACATTTGGAAAAAAAGCAATATGCATGGTAAAGGCAGCAGTGCTTAAAAAAATATTAAAAACAAAGCAAAGATTTCATAAATAAAAGCAGATATGGGTAAATTTCATTTTTTTTTAATCTACAATTTTCGCGATTTTTATTTTTTTTAATCACTAAAAGAAAATGAAAACAAAGTTGTTTAATTTTCTAAAAAATAATGGTGAAAAAACGAATTTTTTATCATTTTGCAACTGGTTAAAATAATTGCGAATATTCGGGGTGTTGATGTAACTCAACATCCAGTAACTTTTGCACAAATTTCTTAACGTTGTAACAGGAAGAACCAAAACCTGTTTATTTCCTGGTAACTTTTTACATGTTACACGGAGAGAAATGTATAGTAAATTTTAGATAGTAAAAAAATATAGTAAAATTTACTTTAACAAATTTTTAGGGTAACAATATTATATATTCGTCAATACAATATTAAGATTGTAATACAAAATACTATTTTTTATTATACAATTTTAGTAAAGATTACAACACCAATATTACTAAATCATAAATGTATAATATATATTTTAAATTTTAATATGTTCGTATAGTAAATTGATTTTACTATCTACAAATAGTAATATTTACTATATGATTTAATCAAATGTAAGGTGTACATCTAATATTGTAATATATTACACATTAATAAAAAATATAGTAAAAATAAAGATACTTTTATGTTTAAGGTAAATAAACAATATATTTAAATATAAAATACAATATAGTAACCCATGACATTTTAAACATTCAATTTTCTTAGTTTCTTCAATAAACTTTTTTGACCCATTACTGGTAATACTTATAAGAAAGAATTGAACCTACTTGGTTGCATAGTATGTACCGATTGCGGCAAAGGCCACGTCGCGACGCGTCGTTAGACGGTGTGGATCACGTGATGTTCTTACATCTCGCCTCTGTTGGCTTACCAACCATGTTATATAAGCTCAGGTATTTCTTTGTTTTGGGTGTGTTCCTCTACTACAAGTTGCTCGACAGTGTCGTGTCGACACTGATGATACCCAATATAGGTCAAAACACCTGTCTGTCGGTTTTTGAAGTTGATGGAACGCACTCAAAACTAAAAACTTTGTCGAGGTGTAGGTTCAATTCTTTCTCATAACATTTTTGTATATTAAAAAGTACAATAAATATGTTACAATTTTTAATTGTTAACACATAAAAATATTTGATTTTAAAATATTTTTTATTTAAAATGGCAACATGATATTTTAAAATTTACTATACTTATTAGTAATGGAAAAAATCTAATTATAATAAGAATTAAAAACAAAATTGGTTGAGAATATATTCTCAACCAATATTATTATAATAATATTTTACCTTAAGGTTTAACATACATGGATATTTAAAAATTACTAAATATTCATAGCATCTGGCAATATACAAGATAGTTGTCCCAAATAGTAATATAAATTATAGTAAAGGGTATTATAATTATGGTAATCAGCATTATACTTTTCTCTCCGTGTAGGATAAGAGTTGCATCAAGACCCCGATTGCTTGATGAAGATCTTCGGGACAAAACATCTAACCTAGGTACCAATCTAGCACTCTACTCTACCTGTTTAGCATTGTTAGAGGATCGGTGGAGATGTAGCGTGTCACCGAACATACGGGGTGCGGTATGCTCAAGCGTATTGTTACCCGATGGGGTGCCGCCTGCGGACCCTGCGGAACCCATCGCCATGTTGCCGCCGCCTCCTGAAGCCGAAGAGTTGACGTGCTGAGAGGCGCCGGTTTCAGGTCTGTGGGATGGCGAGCTAAAACAAAGTTTCGATTGAAGTGCAATGTCTTAATATTAATTATACATATATGGGGCATTCCATACCAAATTTACCACTTTTGACCCCGACCCACTTCGATTTGGCTAAAACTTTATCGGTTTCTATTCTTGTTTTACTAGTCTGCCAATCTATTTTGTAATTGTATATAATGTATTATTATTATTATTATTATTAGTATCCTTTTATATATTTTAGAATTTTTAAAAAAATTTTAACAAACCGAAAAAAATTATAAATTAAAAAAAAATTGATCTGTATTTTTCAAATACCTGTATAAATAAATAATTATTATAATCAGACCGATATTCAACGTTATTTTAAAATTTTCGGAAAATATCTTAATTGTAATTTTTAATTTTTTTATTAGAACTTGGACATTTTCCGAGTGGCGTTTTTACGTTTTCTATTTTTTCTTATTTTTTCGAAAAAAAATTTTTTTTTTCAAACTTTGAGTTTCTCTCTACAAGTAAAAAAAAGTATAATTGTAAAAAATAGAAAACGAAAAAACGCCACTCTGAAAATTTCAGAGATTTTGCATAAATGTCAGTTTCTAATAAAAAAAAAGAAAAAAAAACATTAAAAATGAAAATTATCAAGAAATTTTTGTTTTTTTCCGAAAATTAAAAAAAACCTTGAAGATCTTTAAATAAATGGCTCTGTATTTTTCAAATATCTGTAACTTTTGTTCAGAAAATAAAAAAAATAATCAGACCGATCTTTTTTTTCAATAGTGTTTCTTTTTTAGTTTTTGTTTTTACTTAAAAAAAATATATAACAAAATTATTTAAAACTAACTTCTAAATTTTTTCTTATTTAAAAAAAAAATAATTTTTTTTCAAACTTTGAGTTTCTCTCTACATGTAGGATGTATACATCCTCAAAAATTCCCAAAATAAAGCTGAGTAAAAAAAGTATAATTGTAAAACAATAGAAAACGAAAAAACGCCACTCTGATAAGTTCAGAGATTTTGCAGAAAATGTCAGTTTTTAATAAAAAATACAATAAAAAATTAAAAATGAAAATGAAAATCATCAAGAAATTTTCGTTTTTTTCCGAAAATTAAAAAAAAAAGTTGCTTTTTTCCTCATTAACAAAACTAATAATTAACTGACCCAATCCTCTTCCAATTATTACTTTTCTTAATGTAGGTATTTCTACTTGTTATTAAATGTTAATTTCTTTTTTCAAACTTCAAATATTCCCAGAGTGGTATTATACGAAATAATCTGTAATAAAATGTTTTTTTATAATGGAAAAACAGAAAAAAAACTCCACTGAAAATTTCAGAGAATGTGCAGAAAATGACAGTTTCAAATAAAAATGAAAAATGACAATCGAGAAATTTGCGTTTTTTTAAATTAATAAAAAAATGAGGAATTTTTTTCTATATTTTCCGGAAAAGTAAACTTAAAACAAAAAATTTGGAAAAATGAGCAATTTTTTTGAAAGTTTCATAATTTTTACGGTTGGTTTCTAAAAAATGTTTTTGATAGGGTAGAAAAAGATAAAAAGTTTCAAAAAGAGTCAAAAGTGGCCGATTTGATATGGAATGGCCCATACAGAATTTCACTATTTGAATTAGTAACTGCTTTGTTAAGTCTTTTTAATTTTTAAAATAGTTACTTTTTATTTATTTAACTTTGAGTTTCTCTCTATATAATAGAAATAAAAAACGAAAAAACGACACTGAGAATTTGCAGAAAATGTCAGTTTTAAATAAAAAACAATAAAAATCAAAAGTGGTATTGATATGGAATGCCCCATATATAATTTCACTATTTGAATTACTGCTTTCTTTAGTCTTTTTAATTTTTAAAATAGTTAATTTTTACTTAATTTCCACTAACTTTAATTATTTCTGAGTACATTATTTCTTAAGTCACTTAAAGCCACTACAGAATAGTTAATCTAACCAAAACTACATTCCTTTACCCTTTGATTTGTTTTTTTTATTTGCCCAATTTCCTTTTTGTTTTGAAGTAAACATATTTTAAAAATTAAAAAAAAAATCGCGCCTATTCGGCCATTTCAAGCGGACGGACGGGACATATCACAAAACGGTTTTTATAAAAAAAATTGTGGGCAATTTATTATATATTATTTTTGCATCATTCTTTTTTTATTATGCTATACATTAAATACAAAAAATCACAAGAAATATTTTATAAAAGTAGAGATAATTTCAATAATTGACAGGTGTGGACGGGACAAGATAAATCTTTTTTTGTCCCGTCCACACCTTTCAATTATTAAAATATTATAAGTATAATAAATAATCTATAATTTTTTTTATAAAAACATTTTTAAAATTCGTGCGTTTCGCCTTATTTTCAATAAGGATCTAATCTTATAAACATCTAAATATGAACAAGTCAAAGCTCTTTCAAAGTATTACAACTCAAATATGCATATTTGAGTGCTAATAATGAAAGAGTTTTGGGCCATTAATTATTAGTTTTGTGAATAAGTGGGTAGTTATTGAATATTAATTCAAGAAGTTGTGAAGTCGTCTTCAAGTTTTACAATTAGCTAAGAACACTGATGACCGTATAAACAAAACGGTATAGTTCGTGATAAGATAAACAAGAAATAAAATTTTAGAAATATGACAACGCTGCAAAAGTACGCGACGTCATAACGTCGTTATTGCAATTAAATCGGTGAGATTAAGAACAGTCCAAAATTTTTAATATACTGTTCTTAATCCCACCGATTCAATTAATGTAAAATGGTTTCCAATTTTCGTTAAAATTTCGACAAAAATAAATAATGGTATTTGGGTTATTTTCAAATTTCTTGTACATTTGCTGTCCCTCAACTTTAATATTTTATAAAAAATTGAGTTTAACTTTACTAAGCGAAATCAATTGGGTTAAGTGTTATTAGCAACTATATATAAGCAAATTTGTAAAATTTTAAATTTAACCCAATCAAAAAAATTAAACTTTCCCCAACAGTACAGAAAAGTAGCTGTCCCACTTGCAATTTTTTAAACTCACTTTTTTAATGGACATTTTATAAATACAAAAAATATATTAAATATACTAAAATATAACATAGTTTTTGCTTTTACTTAGTTTTGTGGTAAATTTTTTTTATAAATAATACGTTTATGTTCTTTTTTTTTTTTAAACAAATCCTAGTGCAAATAAAACCTTAAAAGGATAATTAAAAAATCACAAATTTTTGTTAAAACTAAAGATATTTTTAAAAATCTAATAATAAATATAAAATGTAGTATTTAAATTAGTTATTTTAATGTCAAATTTTCCTAAAGAGCAACTTTCCTCTAATTCTTTTTTAAAAAAATTTACATTCGAATTAACATCGAATTTAATTTAAAATCAAGAGAGCACACGGTAGAAATCTAATTTAATTTAATTAACAGGACAAAAGTTGGTCTATAAAAAAAACTAATACAGTTAAATATTTGGGTTTGGAAATAAATAGTTCTTTAAAATGGTACGACCACGCAATAGCGATTGACAACAAGCTTAAAAAACTAAATTATACATTTTATAAGCTAAGAGAAATACTTCCGATTAAAATCCTATTAATGGCATATAGATCAATGGTTGAAGCCATCATATCTTATGGCATAATTATATGGGGAGGTACCTATGAATCCCATACAAAAAATTTAATTATCACAAAAAAAGGTATCCTCAAAACAATTTTATCGAAAAACCGAATGACTTCAACGGAAGAAGTTTATAATGAATGTGGTGTTTTTGATTTTAAGCAGTTATATGCTTTTAATTTGCTCAAGTTCGTCTATAAAAACTCAGATTTAAGAAAAGTACCGCAGCATGAGTATAATACAAGACAAGACTTTTTTCTTATACCAAAAATTCCATCTACATCATTTAAAAATACTGTTTTTGTACTAGGTCCTACTAAACTATTTGGTATTTTGCCAAATGAGTTAAAAAGTATAAATTCATTTAGTTTATTTTGTAAAATTTTCATTTATCAGAATAAAAATGTCATAGGAAATATTTTCCTTTGAGCCATTTTTTAGCAATTCTTGGGATACTATTTCATAATTTATTGTATTGAATATTAAATATTAAAGATCTTTCATTTTTTTTTCACTTGGAGAATACATTTTTAATAAACGCGTACTTATAGGGTTTGAAAACTTGTTTATTTTTGGGATTAGTAAATATTATTTATTTGATGAATCTTGTTAATAAATTTTTATTTGGATAATTTGTAAAAAGTAAAACATACTTAAGCACGACACGATCAGGTGCACTTAATTAATTTAAGATAAACAAAAATTATGTTGCTGAATAAAATTATTTATCCACGACTACCTTATAATATATACTTTATAAATGAGTTTTCTAAAGCAAAATGATAGTCATATTTCACAGAGTGAATAATAGCAGTGAATAATCATTATTCACTGGTCTAGAGTTCCTATAGGACACACGATATAGATTGTATCTGGCAAGCACTTATAAGTTCGTCTAGGCAATTATAGCCAGGCACTTTAATTATCTAACTTTATACCAATCATAAAAGTCTTGTTAAAGTATTACTTTAATATGTTTTTTTAATGCAATTGAATAAAAATTTAACATTAAGTAGACTATTTCAAGTAAGTAAGCCATTGACATGACATGACAAGCTTAGCATAAATTGCTGTCAATTTGAAACGTCATAACTTCGATTCAGCACACGATTTTTGTTACAAATTATTATTAATCTTAAATTATACATAAAAAATCAAAGCGTGAAAGATGAAGAGATGTTACGCACTCAACAAAACATCACAGAAGTCACTTTTCGAAATACGAATCACCTAAAAAATCACATTCATTGGAAATAAAATACTGCATAATCTATAAATAATAGAATTATCAAGTAGGTAGTAAGCCATGTAATCAACTGACAACTAATAATTATTTGAAACGTCAAATTTTAACGACGCGGTGGTGCAATAATAATTCCTGTTAAAATTATAATTTGCTTTCAAAAATACGTTAAGAATGGAAATTGATAGTGAAGAAGATATATTGTGTACTCCACCGGAGATAACAGAAGCTGCAAAAGTCACTTTCCTGAATTTGTTGCCTGAGAAATCCCAAAATTTGTACGTATCTGTGTACAACACCTTTATGGACTGGAGAGCGACCAAGAAAATTAATTCATTCTCAAAGTCTGTTTTACTGGTATATTTTATATATATATTACAATTAATATAAATAAATAGTTTTAAAAATAGTCACAGGCATCTTTAATTTTTGGTTTTGTTAATGTCAAATAGGTTATAATAAATATAAATTTTTTTGCATTAAAATCCGTTAAAAGTCAATAGTAGTCGTGGACAAAGCATAGTATTCTACTCATTATATGCTCGTATAATAATATACTATTATTTATTTTATTCGGTTTTCACTTACATCATGGGATCGTCCATTACTTCAGTGTAGGCCAAAGGGAACCATCCACTGCACTGGGTGCGGAGATTCTCGCCGAATTGCCAGCCCTTGTTCCTCTCGCCTATCAAGGCGATCAAGTCGCCTTCGTGGAAGCTGAGCTGGTTTTCGCCACTAGAGAGGTAGGCGTAGAGGGCGCGCGCCAACTGGGTGTCCCACGAGGGCGGAGGGGGCACCGCCATGGACTTTGGGCGCCTGGTGGGGGTGTGTCCATCTGAAATAAATTTTACAATTTTATTCAATAGAATATGACTAATTACTAGGGTTGGGACAGTTGAAATTTTCAAATGAAAATTTCAACTTTGAAAGTTTCAACCTTGAAATATTTCATTTAGTTGGAAAAGTGAAATTTTTAAAAATTTCAAATGAAATTTTCAATCCGAAAATTTCAACATTGCCTGTGAAACTTTCAGAAATTTCATTGAAAGTTTCGCAATTTACTGAAAATTTCGCATAAATTTCACATGCGGCCTCCCCTAATAATAATTTACAACAGATTCCGAATTACTTACATGCATAAATTAATTTAAATAATTTAATTCAGTAACCAATTTAATTTGTAAATTAAATCAAACTTTAAATTTTTTTTTAAAAGTCATGATTAATTTAAACTTTTACTTTTGCTATAATTGCATCGGAAAACGGATAAAAAATGCCTTTGGCTCATAAAATTTTGATGAAGTTTCTTCAATTTTCGTAAAATTTCAGTAAAATATTTAAAAATAATAAATATATATATATATATATATATATATATATATATATAAAACAATGAAAGTGGCACAATCTCATTAGCTTACCAAAAAGTGCTATATCTCTTTTAGTTTTAGTAATTTTAAAAATATTTTAAAAGGAAATCTCAAGAAATTTGTGGTAAACATAGGTATTTACTATTTATATTATTGGTGCAGGGGCCCACAGAGGGGTAGGAGGTAAGAGAGGCAATTTGCCATGGTCCCCGAGTGGGCTTATTTCAATATTAATATATTACACTTAAAGTGATTGAAATTTATTGAAAGTTTCAATAAATTTCATGAAATTTCAGAAATTTAGGAAATTTTAATAAATTTCATAAATGTCATGAAAATTTCAAGTAAAATTTCAAGTACAAGCACAAAGTGAAAATTTCCCACTATTTTCCTCCATGAAATTTTTTTACAGATGCCTTTAAATATTTTATGATTTTAAATAATAAAAAAATTATACTTAAAGAAAATAACAATTTTAATTTTTTTAAGTAAAAAAATATTTCTGGTTTTAATTTTTGATTTTTGTTTATTAAAACAACAGATTTGTATTTATCTTATATTAAATATATGTTGGAAACAAATCTTGATCTTTTAGTTTGACGATTATAAATTGCTTTCGAATCTATAGTGGTACCACAACCTAAAAAAACATCACTTGATATACAAGGTGTTTCACATTCGTGGTCCATTGGAAATTTCTGGAGAACGGAAAAAATATAGATTTGAAATTTAAAAGCGTTTATAATCCATTAAGTCTATTTTTTTTTAAATATTTTGAACAAAATGCAACTTCCGGTTTGACCGGATGATTATGTAAAAACATACAGGGTGTTTCATTTAAAATAAAAAAGTTATTAACGTTTCAAGTTAGCGTAATTTTCCCTGGGTTTTCTTGAGTAGTTTGCTAATAGTATATTATGTATCAAGTTTGATAAACGCCATTTTATACACAAATTTAATGTAAGTTAATAAGTGTATAGAAACGACAAATACGACAAATACTATTATTATCTTAAAATGATTTTAATCACAAATTTGTATAGAGCGCCATCTATGAAACAATAGGGGAATCTGTGTGTTACCGTTAAATGTCAAATTTTTATATATTATAAACACAGAGGTTATAAATCAAAATGTATTTCTTGAAAATTGACAGTTTTTCACAGTGAAAGTAAAGAAAATGTTTTATGAGCACTTTACAGTGGATTCCGTGCCCGAATTAAAGTTATTGTTTACTACCATCGAAATAAAAAGGTCAGTACAATGTTCATATAAACTTTTTGAATATTGAAGTTGAGAAACTATTTAATACATTTGTACACTTTTGTATTGAGATAATAAAATAATTTTCACATTTAGTAATATTTTAGAAGAAAGGGTTTATTTTAACAATTGTATGAAATTTGACAACTGTCAACTAACTTAAAACTAACTTCAGCCCGTGACTAAAGCGCCATAAAGCCACAACTTGTCAATGTGTATTTAAAAGGTCACTTAGTGTCATGGAAACAAGTATGATAAAGGGCGTTTTAAAGGTGGGAGTAGAACAAATATTTTAAAGAATTGACATGGAATCTTTTAAACAATGTTTTAAGATTCTAAAAATTCCACCCCCATTTCGACAAACCTAATATCAAAAAAGTTATAGGCTATTTTTGATTGACGATTTGTCAAATTTTAACAAAAAAATCTTTTTGTTGTTCCTCAGTAACTTTTAATGGGCGAATGTGCAACACCCTGTATATAATTAAAATAATTTTTAAGTTTTCGAAAAAATACTAAAAATTGTAAAAATGTTTAAACCTATTAATATTTTTTAATTCAAAATATATTAATATAATCAAGTAAACCAAGCAAAACTTTAATATTAAAAAAAATTGTTACATTATATTAAAAGGTTTTTTTAAAATTAAAAATTAAATAAATAAACAAATTCCTGAAAATTAAAAAAACTTCACCAATTAAAAAAGCATAAAATCACAAAATCCTATAAATAAAAAACTAAAACAAACATCCATTTCATCTATAAATGCATTTGTCGATTTAAAAAAAAATGTGAAAAACCTTTTAGAGAGCGTTTTATTAACTTACACATTAAATATTGCAAGCGCATCGGACTTAACGAGTGCATATTGACACTACAACAGTTACTGGCGACTATAATGAATAATAATTCTGCTGAGAGGGACCTATCCTTTTTACTTGACATTTGGATTTGAACTATAAATATAACTATCTCCAAGCGTTCAATAACAAATTTGCCTACTTTTGCCTACATTAGTGTGGAATTTTTCGAAACGTGCAAATGCAACTTTTAATGAATGCATTTAAATACACTCACAGGCAAAATAATCGATCCACTCAAATTGTCGATGAATTTCAATCGCAAATAACTTTCTTAATTGATTTTGTATTTAAACAAGTGTTAAAAAATATTGTAGACAAATTAATGGAGAATCCCTCACATTTTAAAAATTTCTAAAAAATACACGTACGTTTATAATATACAGGTTTAAACAAAAAGATGTTTTTTACCATAAGTTTAAGACACTCTGTAGAGTGGCAAAACCGTATATTGTTCTGAATTAATTAATCATTAATTATCAAGTCACATCTATTTTTAACAGTTTTGTTTTTGGTTCACCTTGATATATTTATTTTTGTGGAAAATATGGATTTTTTTAAAAAAACATTGCAATTTCCAATATTTTTTATGTACGAAGAACTAAGGTTGTATGGAGGATGACAGTGATAGTTGTGTTTTGTACATTAATGTGTCCAAGTATGGTATGATTCAACAAAACTGTCACTGTCATCCTCCATAGCCTATGGATGGACCATAGCAACCTTAGTTCTTCGTACAGAAAAAATATTGGAAATTGCAATGTTTTTTTAAAAAATTAATATTTTTCACAAAAATAAATATATCGAGGTGAATCACAAACAAAATTGTCCAGAATAGATGTGAGTTGATAAATAAAACTTAATTTAGAAGAATATACGGTTTAGCCACTCTACAGAGTGTCTTAAAGTTATGATAAAAAACTTCTTTTTATTTAAACCTGTATATTATAAACGTGCATCCATTTTTTAGTGATTATTTAAAATGTGAGTGTTTCTGCATTAATTTATCTACAATATTCTTTATTACTCGTTTACATCCGACATCAAATAAAAAAGTTATTTTTGATTGAAATTCATCGAAAATTTGTGTGGAACGATTATTTTGCCTGTGAGTGTATATAAATACACGTTTATAATTAATATCGAAAGTAAAAGTTTGTCAAGTGTAGGTATATTGTTTTTCTATTAATTAATATGGATTAATTAATATAATTGGGTTTTTTGCTTTTAAGTCTGTGGTGGTAGGTTATTGCAGTAGAATGTGTTATACGACTTTATTGAGTAAAAAATTTACCAACTTTAAAACGCCCATTATGTTTCCATGACACTAAGTGACTTTTAAATACACATTGACAAGCTGTGACTTTATGGCGTTTTAGTCAATTAATGTAATATATTGACATGGGTACTTCGTTAGGGTTAATAAAGAAGCACCTGAAACTTTTTTTTTCTAAATTCTAAAGACTAAAAATAATTTATAATAACCTTTATACTACCAAAAAGTACGCCACTGATCGACTAGGAACTTTAGGCTAATCTGGTTGCCTAATTTAATTTATTATGTTATGGTTGGTAATAAGCAGCGTTTGTTTAAATTTAGCTTAATTACAAAAATGACAAAATCAACAATGCAAATTGTTGATTGTCATTTTTGTAATAAAGGTAAATTTAAACAAAATGTGGCAACTTTTATGGCAGAATCTAGTGCATTTCTTTCAAATCTTAGGTTTTGTGATCAAATTGTAAATATCTGAACTAAGGGAAGTGCTTTTGGATTTATTAACACAAATTGAATGTTTAAAGTTTAACCTGTGAAGTTGTCCTAATTTAATCTGAGTAAACAGAAAGAAAAAAACCGATAAAAAATAATTTTGTGGTTTTGGAGATTTTAAAATAGGTACTAAATTTTCTAATCATTGCTTAAGCTAATAGCTGGATGAGTAAATAAATACAGAAGGGTATTAGAGCTTTAAGGGCATACAACTTTTGTATTTATTTTTTACAACTGGCAACGCACAGCTACTTTGTAGGTTGGTATCTATGTACTCACAGAACACAAGTGTGTATTTAATTAAGGTCTTCAGCCATTTTTTAAATACTAAAAATACTAAATCAAACTGGCATAAGCTACCCACTTAATAAAAAACACGTCCAAATAAAAAAAAAATTAACTGTACCTTGAGCTAGAGAGTGAGTGGACGAGTTCAGATTGTATTCGGACTTGGCTCTGGATAGAGTGTTGACAGGGGAGCCAACTTCAGCAATCGAACGGATATCCAAACAGGATGCGTCCATGCTTTTCGTCTTCCTAAGTTGGGAGTTCAGGCTCATCCTGTCGTCTTCGAAATTTGGACTTCTGGGGTTGGAGTAAAGGTCTTCGTCTTGCCACACGGAAATTTGCTAAAAAAATAATCGTTTGGACTGTGAGAAATGCAGTTTCAACTAGTAAGTATCTCCTACGTAATTCATACACAGAAAAAAGGGTTTAGTTAGCCCAACTATTATTTGTTTCATTTAACTAATTCTGTTGTTTCAATAGAGCCAACCAAACACTTAGTTATTTTAACAACCGCATTTAGTTATATTTTACAACTATATATTTGGTTAAAACAAACATTTGTATAGTTAAAGTGACCTTTACCTACCAGTCCAATGTACTAAGTACATTTGGTTGAATTGACTCAATATAATTTGTTACCCTTACTAGGTTAAGATACAGTTTTTTTAAGCCATTCATTCCATTTTCTTATATTCTTTAAGAAACAGGAAGTTTCTTGATGCATTACTAGTATAATACCAGTGGTATTATTCCAGAAACATGAACCTTCACCTCGCTAGAGATAATGATTTTAGTGCGTTCCACCAACTTAAAATACAAGTATTGACAGCTGTTTTCACCTATTTAAGGTCTCTTTAGTATCGAACAACTTGTAGTGTCACACCAAAGCAAAGGACTACCTGAGCTTATATATTCTCCATGTAAGTCAACAGAGGCGAGATTTAGGAACATCACGAGATCCACACCGCCTTTGCCGCGATCGGTACATACTATGCAACCAGGAATGCACGGCAAATTGTTTAATCGTTTTAACAGAGTGCTTAAGGTTGAAGTAACTCTTATTTTACAAAAAACTTATTTAGTAAACTGAATCATACAGCGGGTTGGTTTCACTAAAGTTTTCTGGGTTAATTTAACCAATTTAAAAACATATCTTACCCTTAATCTGTTGCTGAAGATGTTCTCTACCGACTCGGGCAGGTATTCCCTGGACTTGGCCACCTCGGACCACTTTTCCAAGTTCGCATCGTAGGAAGCTACGCCTTGGCTGTGATAGGACAAGTAGTGTTTCGCCAGTGAGCATTGTCTCTCCAACACGAAACCGTAGCGACGTCGTTCCTGGGTCATTGCCTGAAAAAAGACGTAAACGATGAAAAATAAAAACAGCGCCATGAAAATTTATGCTGGGCACTTACATTTTTCAGGCTTTGTTCGCAGAAGGCGTCCAGCTTGGTCTTCTCCTCCTCAAGGACCTGCATATTCTGCAAAAGATAGTGAATTATGTACAACGGTTATCTACGTCTTATGTATGCTTTATGCATTAAAGATTTCTTGGTTCAACAAACTATATCACAAAATTCTATCAATATACAGTATGGACAGTAGTAATTTGTTTCGTACTTTTGCCGGTTACTGTATAGAAAGTATTAATAATAAAATAAAAATAAAATGACAAAAACACAAATATATTTACAAATCTAAACTACGATGTCATAGTTTAGATGATACTTTCTATTATATAGATTCTTCTGCCAGATTTTTAGGACATTGCCGATATTTATGGTCTATAAACAGGGTGCTTTAAAATTATTTAGTATTGCCAGTTTACTGCAGTTAAGTGGTAGCATAAATATTGTCCAATAGCAGCCAAATATGTCTAAGTACCCTAGATAAGGGTTTGCTATTAAAATACAATGATGAGTTTAGTAATGCATTAAAAGTAAAAGTACGTAGTTTAGAAATATTGCTTGAAGATTATAATATTAAACAAATTATGTACATTTAATGTTTCAATTAAAAATATTAAAATAATCACCAAAATTTAAATTGATTATGTGTGTAAAATAAGCCTCAAATCAGAATTTTACAGGGATGATTTTTTTTCTAAATTGAACAAGGAATATAAAAAATGTAGTGGCGTAGCAAATAGGGCGGAAAATGTGAAACAACCCCCCTGTATCTACGCCAATGGACAACTTTGAGAAAAGTTACTTCACGTCAGTTACTCACGTCAACTTAAGAGTAGGTAGATTAAACCATATAGTTATTGGACACTTAAGAAATATTATTTATTTAAAATTTATATATGCCGTTGTTTTAAAGATTTTAGTTTTTTTCTTATAAATATATAAAAAGGATAGTTTGTTTGTTTAAACTTTATTTACGTTTACTAAAAATAAGAATATTTGAATTTTTAATAATAGTTTTAAAAGAACATGCAAAAAGGTATAGTAATTGGAAATTTTATATAGTAATTGGACAAATGGACCAAAGTTATTGGACATACAATTTTTATATAAACATAACAACTATACATCAAATAACATAAATTGTTAAATATTTTTTAAAGATAAATTGCTCTTTTAAGTAATTTTTTTATTTCGTTTTTGTAAATATATAATTCATATATTTCTTTCTCGGATTCCTCATCCCTTTTCTGGATTCTGGAGGTAACTACTAATTCCTTGATTTGACTTCTGAAATAGTTTGTTGCAAATATCATTAAGTGTGGTATCTCTAGTTTGTAAAGCATTTATAATGTTTAGGCCGGAACAAGATGATTTATGTATATTTAATATTTTTTCGGGTGGTATCTTAAAAGTATTTTCCAAATTTATTAATTTTGTTGTCATTAGTTTTTTATGTTCTTTATTATTTAAATCAATGTTATTCTGCAAGATGTCCTGTGACAAAGAAATCACTCTCTAAAAATGAATTAGTCAAAAATTATCAGTCAATTCCTATGAAATATTATACGCTGAATCCGAAAATATCGTCAAAAGTTATAAAAGTAGAATAGTTTTTGGAATATAATCAATTTAAAATATAATATGGAATTGACTATATCTCAAAAACTGCTTAACTTTTTTAGTTTTCGACGGTCTTTTCGCATTCAGGGGACAATTTTACGTAAGAGTTGGCTGATAAATGTCTGGGATACAAATAGAGTATGATATTGGACATATATCCAATAATAGAAATATACATTTTTTACCAGTCAGTAGTTGGACAATGGCCATTTTACTGTTATTTTTCAGAATTAAAATTAAAACGCATTAAAGTGACAATGTTTAAACCATTAAAACATTTATACCACACACTGATCTGTACACTTTTTAGAAAATATTTTTTATTGTAATGTAAACCCAGGCCTGCTCTTAACAAAAAAACAAAAATCTTACCACCAAAGTAACTTGCGAACTTTTTTGTCCTATATTGGACCCAAAATAAAGTAGTTCTATATTATTACCGACTGAGATAGTTATAATTGTATACAGCGTCATGATATGATTTGATTTTAAGGTAACTATTTATAAAATTAAATTTTTACAGTATTAATGTTAATTGTCCAATAACTATGTCCGATAAGTGTCTACTTTACCCTAAAACTTGTGTTTTTAAAATATTTATCTAAAAAGTTGCAAAAATGGCGAATGCTCCGGGGTTAAATTTCGAGGCATTCATCTAAAAAGATTATTTTTACCTTTATTGCGGGCAAAGTTAAAAATAATGCATTATATTTTGAATGGATTAAGGTTTAATACTTATTATTAAAATAATGATTAATGCGTTTAATTTCCATTATGCATTACATAACTAAGTAGTCTTCTTTTTTAATTACATTTTTACTTTTATATTTTTTCCAATGTATTCTTTTTTACATTATTCATTTTTAATTTGTAATGAGTATTTTAAGATTTTCAATTAAATTTTTTTATATTAATGAATAATGTACTCATTTTTTATTTTTAATGATAAATGAATGAAAATCGAATTACTCATTTTTAGTGGGCATTTATATTTTTATGTCATATTTTTTCAATTTTTTCACGGTTAGATAGAAGTGTAATTGATCTTTTACAAAAATATACATGGTTCAATTATATTGAGAACAAATTTCAAGAAAATTTTTAGAAGGAAAATATTTTCTTAACGTCAAAAGTCAAAAAAAAATGTCTAACCCAAGAAAAGTTTTTTGCTTCAAACAAACCCTCAATTTTTTTTAATATTTCCTAGATTCAACCTAATTTTTTTTATTTTTTATTTTTCAGGATCTGATTTGAGAAGTCATGCAATATCTTTCGGTACACATTTTTTTTAATGTATAATGTACGGTCTCTCATTACTCATTAATTTTTATATAAGTAATAAAAATATTTGTCATTAAACATTTTTTTAATGATTATAATGTATTTAAACTACATTATCAAGAAAAAAAAATGACGATTGCATTATTCTTGCAACACAACAAACCCATATAAATAAATCCTTTTTCAACGCGAAGCAATAAAATTTATTCGCCCATTAACCCTCCATCGTGCTAAAAAAACTCCAATTTAAAAAATACGAGTGCATCAAACTAATTTACGCGAAATCGTCTCCAAAATTAAGGCAAAACAAAAACAAAAGCTCAAGCGACGTCAATAAAAATAAACAACGTCACCGTCTTATCTAAACTTACCTTAAGTTCTTTATCCATGGCAAGTCCCGTTTTAGTCGAGCTCCTCGACTTCTTCCTTTGTTTTTTCATCATGGCCGCCGCCTTGCTGTAAGTTTCCGAACGCTGCTTGTGCTGCTGGAGGAACCGTTTTTGCTCGGACTGCAAAAAAAAATCCCGGTTAGTTTTATTCGCTTTAGAGGGACATTTAAGGTATTAGAGGTTTATTTCGTCTAGAAATAAACCCGCTTTGCCTAGACAATTTAAAACATTGTATATTCCAATAAGTTTTATTGCATACAATATATATTATTGTATACAATATATAAAATAAGTTTTAAAGACTGAAAAGTCGTTTTTTGTGAAAAATATAAACTTCTCTCTTAAAATTAAATAGACAAAATTTTACTTTTTGGTTAAGTACCAGCATTTTTTACTAATAAACATAACTTTTTTGTTTCTTGAAAGATTTTATTTTGGTCTGTGATGTCTGCTAGCCTCATCCTCTGGCAATTCATGCTATAGATAAAAGCTAACGGTTTTTCAATAAAATTTCCTACAGGGTGATATGTTAAACGGTGACAAATTTCAATAACTTCATCCAAGCCCCTTTTGTAAAAAAATATTTTTTTTTCGTTTTACTTTGAAATAATGAAGTATTATGTCTTACCTTGAAACAAGTTTCAAATTTTTCGTATTTTTCGTATTTTTTTTTCATCTAAGGGTTTTTTGATGGTGGAAGATTGTTTCTTAAATAATAAGTGACAAGCAACGACCACTTTTTCAAAATATCATTTTGGTAAAAATTTGCGAAAACTAAACCTAAACTGATATTTACGTTCGTGACATGTTTTATTCATAATTTTGACCTCCTGATTGTGATTCAGTTGTCAAATTTAAGTTTCAGATAAAACCGAAATCACCAAGAATCAAGATTCGAAAACAATTCCCGGCTGTTAAATGTCTCAATAAAATTCGATTGCTGGTTTTTACTGTGTTTTGCATCTTTAGTACGTTATTATCATGTCGCTGTTTTTTCAAATTTCGAAGTTTTTTGCATAACTTATACCTTCCTACCTAGATACCTACCCCTATCTTACCCAGGTTACTTTAATTATTTCTTTAAAATTTACCGTTGATTTGAAGATGTTAATTAACGTAGCTGCAGCAAAGTCTGGCATTTGCATTTTAATCATTTAAACTTTAAATGATTAAAATGCCAATGCCAGACTTTGCTTCAGCTACGGGAATTAACATCTCCAAATCAACGGTTCGCAGAAGATTGAAAGTTATTGTTGTTATTGTTTGTTACATTTTTCTGTTGAATGTTGTAGTTTTGATTATAATTATAACTTCGCATAAAATTTTAAAAAATTAACAAAAATATTTTTATTTAATTTTATTAACAATTAGGTTATGTAATATTATCCCAACCACTCAAACAAATTGTAGTAATTTGGCCCAAAAAATGAATCCCCAAACGGCATTTTAATCATAAATATGCAAGAAACACGCCAGCAATCTGTTTTTATTAAGACATTGTTTTCGAATTTTGATTCTTGGTGATCTTGGTTTTATCTGAAACTTAAATTTGACAACTGAATCACAATCAGGAGGTCAAAATTATAAAGAAAACATGTCACGAACGTAAATATCGGTTCAGGTTTAGTTTTCGCAAATTTTCACCAAAATGTCATTTTGAAAAAGTGGTTGTTGCTTAGGCCGCTCTGAAAATAATGGAAATTTGTTGCTTGTCTTTTGATCAGAATTATTCAAGGAACAATCTTTCACCATCTTATCTGGTTGTTCATAAAAAGACTGAGTGTATTGTCTACCAAAAAGTCTTAAATATACTCTTTTGAAAAAAAAATCATATTTTCGTTGCTAAGATTCCAATTCAAAAAATTTGAAACCCGTTTCAAGGTAAGACATAATACTTTATTATTTCAAAGTAAAAACTAGAAAAAATATTTCTTTTTTCAAACGGGGCTTGGATGAAATTATTGAAATTTTTCACCGTTTAACATATCACCCTCTAGAAAATTTACTTAAAGAACCGTGAGCTTCATATCTATAACATGAATTGCCAGAGGATGGGGCTAGCAGACATCACAGACCAAAATAAAATCGTTAAAGAAACAAAAAAGTTATGTCGTTTTGAAAAAGGACGAACTTTTTGGTCGCGACACATTGAGTGGTGCGCAAGTTATTATGAAGAATATTTACTGACAAATACAATTGATAGCCACATTGGTTAACACGAGCTTGAAGAAAGCTTGTCTCACAAGTATAACACAATGTTTTTTCTGCGACCCTTTTATTTTTTATTATTTTTAAATACAAAACAAAATAACCTAAAAACTTTTTTGACAGCTGAATGTCAAACAATGCTTTCCGGTTCTTTTCACACAGACCTGTCATTTTTCACACAGAAATGTTACATTCGTGTTTTGCTTTGCCAATGAAAAGATTAATTTTCTAAGCAACGATGCCATCATGAAAAGTGACTTTTACATAGTGGTCGTAGAAAAAAGCGTTTTTAAAGCGATTCTATTCATAAAATCAGTTTTATAGTTAAAAAAATAAATAAATTAATCCTAATAATATAAAATTTACCTAATTATTTAAAATATTATGATAATTCTTTAAAATTATTTATTTCTTTATTTTTTAAGGGCTTACTTAACAAAAATCCAACTGCCCACTTTTAGGTGTTAAATAACACCCCTAAATAAACAAAATTTGAAAAAAAAACAGATTTGTAGATTAAGTTTTTGTTTTTACTTTTTCTTTTTGAAATGTACAAGAATTTTAAAATGACCCAAATACTTTATATTATCTAAAAATAATTTAAATTAAATATTTGTATAGATTCCTGGGAATCTGTATTACCGCTACGGTGAAAATGTCAAATTTTTATGCGTAAACCGAATCCCTTGAAAATGTATTAACCACAGTTTTTTACAGTGAAAGTGAAGAAAATGTTTTATGAGTCTCCACAAAAAATTAAGTTAAATCTAGTTTAATGCTGGCGAAATTAAAGCGTCAGTATAATGTTCATATAAACTTTTTAATTATTGGAGTTGAGAAACCATTTAATACTTTTTGGGATATTAAATAATTTTTACATTTAGTATAATATGGTTGACATATGTATTTTATCGAAAAACAAAAACCGTTTTTTAAGTCAAACTGAATAAACAAATCGTAATTCTTCCTGATTTGACTATCGTATACAGGTTTCGCCAAAAGAGAACAAAACTTTTCATTTCCTGGACAACTCTCGAGAGAAAATACCCGAAAAATAGTTCGGCAACATTTGCTCTCAACACTTTATTCAAATTAGATCCCTCCAACTTTTTTCATTAGAGTTAAAATAGTTAAAATGAAGATATCTCACAACTTCCTTTCATTTAGTTTAAACTTAGGTATTCATTTAACTTTAAAATTAAATCGCTGTGGCTGTACATAAATTTTGTAACACGCTTTAATATCAAGTTCAGAATAAAGTTGGATTTATATTTATTTTATAAATCAACATATTTTAAAAACTTGTTTGGTATTTTAAATATTTTCATAACCAATCTATTCAAATTTTCTTAATTTTAAATAAAAAGTTACCTTACCTGTACAACTTTAGTGTCCTTTTCCAAATTAGTCTCCAAAGGCACCAGCAGATCAACATAGAAGGCTTTCAGCTAAAAATAAATAAACAAGGGTTATAATTAAATACGAATAACGAATCTCCAATATTTATGTATTTAATATTCGCAAATGTAATGAAATATTCATGATGGCCTTAACGAAATGCAAACAATAATTAACTCGAATCACACCGGCAAATTTTTCAACAAATAGAACCAAAATTACAAAGAATTCACATTTATTATTCGAAGGTGGCTGGGAGTTTACTGGGTTGCATATCTACGAGTTGTCATGCGCATGCGGCCGCGATTTGTTGTTTGTTTTAATTTTGACAGATAAGTTATTTTGTGCGAGTTTTTCTTAAGATTTTTAGTTATAAATTACAAAGTTTTAAGTGTGCATTTTGTCAAAAGGTAGTAAATAAACATTCCATTAAGTGATTCTGTGTTCGTGTGTAGTAAAGATGGGAAATAAACACTGGAAATGGATAAAAACAATGTAGGTAAGTGGCTTGTTGTCTGTCTAACTTAAACCTGTTTATTACTAGATTGTGTTTTAATTTTTTAAAAATTTAAACTTACTTAGTGAGTGGTACATTATATATGGTTATTAAATAAGTATTAGACAGTGTAAATTCGTAAAATAAATGCAAACTTTATGTGAAGTTTTATGAACACTTTAAAATGCGTTAAGAGTGTTAATAAAATGTCGCATAAAATTGTGACAAAACACTTAATTTACACATGTCGGATTTAAAAGTGGCATTGGCGAAAGTATAATTCGCGCCCCCTGCAGCGTGGCTGTCACAGGGGTGGTTACAGACGAAAATAATGACCGTTTTTTACGGGACCGTAATTTTATTCGCGGTTTCTGAATAAAACGCGTGGCGCGCTTTTTTCGACTCCCCTTGCCCCCCTTCGGAAAACCTGTAACACAATTATCTACTGCATTAATTATGCAACCCGCGCCCTTTTGCCACACCTACCCGGTTTTGTCTGAAGCGCAGTTTACGCCAGTCGAGTTTTTTTTTATTTTGTTTTGTTTTGGTTTTAAATTTCGGTTATTCGAGACTGCTTCGATTGTCGAACAATTCGGATATTTATTGGTAAAACAAATTTAAATAAAATTATGGATTTTAGATTCTGGTAAAATGGTAATTCCTCGGTGGAATTTCCACCAAATATTTTTTTGTTTTTTTTTTAATTTTGTTAACTGAGCTCTTAATTATTAAGCACTTTTGTAGTACCTACATAGGTAATGATTTTAAAGATATATTTTTTTAAAACTTTTTCGTTAGATATTTTTGGATGTAGGTAAATAATGTTTTATAAAAATACAAAATTTATTGTTTTTTGTAATAAATTCTTACCTTTTTAATGGAATTACTCCTTCTTTATTATACAGGGTGAGTTTTTTAAAGTGTTACAAGGCAATATCTTGAAAACGGTTCAATATTTTTTTGTGAAATTTTATTGAAATAATGGGGACAAAGGGGGATATATTTAAACATATTTTTGAAATTTCAACCTTTCCAGTTAATTACATTTACATACTTTTATATTTGGTTTAATTATCCAATATTTTAAATAAAAAAATATTTTTCAAGTAAAATTTGTAGAAGTAATATTTTAATTATTTGATTTAAGTAACAATTCATTTTTTTTTAACTTTAAATTTATTTAAATATTAAAACTGCTCCCATTATCTTATAATAATTTAATTGTGCATTAAATTAATATTTTTAATAATTTTATTAAATATAACGATAATATTATTTTCGATTATTTTATTAATCCGTGTATTTCATTTTAATATTGTTAGTGGTTGGATCAAAAAAAGGTTTAAAGGTTAAAATAAATTTCTGAAATTTTATTTTAATTTTAATAATTTTAATTTTAACATTGTTTGTATGTGCAAAAACTGTTGATTTATTCTCTATAAATGACTAATTTAAAAGTTATTTGTGGCTGCTTTTTCACTTGCACCATGGTTAACCATGGAATACCATGGTATCCCAAAATTTAACACCCAATTCATATGTAAAATTGTCCCCTGAATCCGAAAATACAGTCAAAAATTATGAAAGTGGAGCAGTTTTTAAGATATAGTTAATTCCATATTAAATGAAAAATTGACTATATCCCAAAAACTGTTGTACTTTTTTTTTAACTTTTGACGACATTTTCAGATTCAGGGGGCAATTTTACATAAGAATTGGCTGTTAAATTTTGGGATACTATGGTATTTCATGGTACAAGTGAAAAAGCAGCCACTAATAACTATTAAATTAGTCATTTTTGACTAATTCATTTTTAGAGAATAATCATTTATTCGTTAATTTAACCATTTTTTTCTTTCATATAATATATTAAACTATATTAGGTATAGTTTTTGTGCACTACAGGTTACGAAAATCTACCTATTTGTAGAGAATTTTTGTTTCATTGTTGTTTTAAGTTTCTATTGAGTTTTTTATTTCTCAAAACAAAGCATAGAAATATTTATGTCATGTTACTGTTAATTTAATTTTATTTCAATGTTTTTTTCATGGATAACTTGACAAAATATATTTTTGTAAATAATTGGTATTTTTAATTTGGCTACAAAATCGATTTTACTTAAAATTTTTCAATAAAATTAAGCATAGGGTCGTTTTGAAATTGCACAATAAATAAAAATACAGGGGTGAGTCGCAAACAAATGGGTCACACTGTATTAGAGTTGAGACAGTTGAAATTTTCAAATGAAAATTTCAACTTTCAATATTTCATTTAGTTGAAAAAGTGAACTTTTTAAAAATTTCAAATGAAATTTTCAATGCGAAAATTTCAACATTGCCCGTGAAACTTTCAGAAGTTTCATTGAAAGTTTCGCAATTTACTGAAAATTTCGCATAAATTTCACATGCGGCCTCCCCTGGGACCTTTAATAATAATTTACAACAGATTCCGAATCGACCAATAAGAACGAGTTATCAGGCGTCTGGGCGTTTTTGTTTAGTTCGGCTTGGATTTGAATAAACTATAAGTAATTATTGTTATTGTATATGCATAAATTAATTTAAATAATTTAATTCAGTTACCAATTTAATTTGTAAATTAAATCAGACTTTTTTAAAAGTCATGATTAATTTAAACTTTTACCTTTGCTATAACTTAATCGGAACATGGATGAAAAATGCCTTTGGCTCATAAAATTTTGATGAAGTTTCTTAAATTTTCGTAAAATTTCAGTAAAATACAGGGTGTTTCTTTTAACTTGAGACAGCTCAATATCTCGAGAAATACGCATTTCACGGAAAAATGTCTTAAATAAAAGGTTAATGTGACCAAAGGGGACATTATTTGGTGCTACCGCTAGCCACCCCCTACCCCTCCTTAAGGGTGAAACGGGGGGTAACTTTGGAAAGTCAAATGGAATGACCCGATTTTTTTCACAGAGTTTGGTAGTACATAAAAAAATGAATAACTTTTATTTGAAAGTTTTTTTCAATTTATCAACAGATGGCGCTGTAATTTAAAATTTAAGAAGAAGGGGTTTCCTTGTAAAATGTATTATTTGAAACGTTTGAAAAACAAAAATTAACATTAAATCAACAATAGTCGGCTCTGAAAACAATTTATAACAAATGTTCGAAATGTCGTCCTTCCATTTCGACACCAAGTGGAGCACCAGCGTCCCTGGTCGGTAAACGTTTGGTGCGGTACCTTAAGCGAACGATTAATCGGACCCTTCCTTATTGACGGTGCATTAAATGGCGAAAAGTACCGGAATTTTCTAGAAAACGATCTGACGGACCTTTTGGAGGATGTACCACTAGCACGGCTCCAAAAAATGTGGTACCAGCAAGATGGTTGTCCTGCACATTATTCGACAATTGCTCGAGAGGTGTTGGATCGGGAGTTCAATGGCCGGTGCACCGCGGTGGATCGGTAGACGTGGTCCAGTAATTTGGCCTGCTCGATCACCTGATCTTACGCGACCAGACTTCTTCCAGTGGGGTTACTTGAAGGAAAAAGTTTACGCTGCAATTCCTACAACTTGGGAGGACATGGTGGAGCGGATCAGGAACGCCTGTGCGGCGATACCGCCCGATATGTTGGCGCGTTGTGTGCCAGAATTCATTACCCGCATTCAAAAATGTGTTGAAATGGAATGACGACATTCCGAACATTTGTTATAAATTGTTTTCATAGCCGACTATTGTTGTTAATGTTAATTTTTGTTTTTCAAACGTTTCAAATAATACATTTTACAAGGAAACTCATTTTTCTTAAATTTTGAATTACAGCGCCATCTGTTGATAAATTGAAAAAAGTTTTAAATAAAAGTTATTTATTTTTTTATGTACTACCAAACTCTGTGAAAAAAATCGGGTCATTCTATTTGACTTTCCAAAGTTACCCCCCGTTTCACCCCAGGGGTAGGGGGGTGGCTAGCGGTAGCACCAAATAATGTCCCCTTTAGTCACATTAACCTTTTATTTAAGACATTTTTCCGTGAAATGCGTATTTCTCGAGATATTGAGCTGTCTCAAGTTAAAAGAAACACCCTGTATATAAAAATAATAAATATATATAAATATAAAACAATGAAAGTGGCACAATCTCGTTAGCTATATCTATCTTAGTTTTAGTAATTTTAAAAATATTTTAAAAGGAAATCTCAAGAAATTTGTGGTAAACATAGGTATTTACTATTTATATTATTGGAGGTTAGGGGCCCACAGGTAAAAGAGCCAATTTGCCATGGTCCTCAAGTGGGCTTATTTCAATATATATAATATATTACACTTAAAGTGATTGAAATTTATTGAAGGTTTCAATAAATTTAATAAATTTTGGAAATTTTAACAAATTTCATCAATGTCATGAAAATTTCAAGTGAAATTTCAAGTACAAGCAAAAAGTGAAATTTTCCCAACCCTACACTGTATATAGTAATATTTTCAGAAAATAAGACGAAGATTCGGGTTGTAAATTATTAAAACAAATAAAATATATATGAATGACATTTTGGGATTGCTATAGGTAAATTAATGGCCATTTAAACGGCAATATGTGTGTGCTTTTGACGTGAGCAAAATTTACTTCGACGTTCTGGCAAATGTAGAATTAAATAGTTTTGGTTATTATAGAACAAATCACTATAATAGTTGGCAAACTTTCGATGGAAGGGAGGGAATTCCGAAAGGGCAGGGTAGTAGCAGCGCTCGGGAGTTAATTAAGATAATTGAACTGTCTAGCTGCAATAGTATAGTTTTAAGCTGAAACTCATTTTAGATAGCGGCTTTGTCGATTGTTTTCGTCAATGGGTTGATTAAAACTTTCGAGGGTTTTTTCGGGTTGCAGATTAGTTTTTTTCTATTAAGACCGCAGTTTCAATTAAAAAAGACTTGGCTTTATGCTGCAGACCTATTAAAAGAGCATTCTCTATTTAACTGGTATGGTAATCTGTATTTTTTTTATATATACTGTTTTAAAAATCTGTTTTGTTAACATGAGTTTGTAGTTTGTTAATTTTTTTTGGTAAAATTTTAACATAATTTTGTAGAAAACCAGAGTTTGTAATTATTTTAACAAAGGAAAATATTTTACCGTTGTTTTAAAGATTTTAGTTTTTTTCTCATAAAAATATAAAACGGATAGTTTGTTTACTTAAAAATAAGAATATTTGAATGTTTAATATTAGTTTTATAAAAACACTTAACAACTTTACTTCAAATAACATAAATTGTTAAATATTTTTTTTAAAGATAAATTGCTGTTTTAGGTAATTTTTCTGGATTTTGCAGGTAACTACTAATTCCTTGGTCTAACTTCTGAAATAGTTGCATCATTAAGTTTGGTATCTCTAGTTTGTGAAGCATTTATAATGTTTAGGATGATTTATATATATATATATATATATATATATATATATATAATTTTTTTCGGGTGGTATGTTAAAAGTATTTTCCGAATTTATTAATTTTGTTGCCATTAGTTTTTCATGTTCTCTATCATGCACCGTATTTAAATCACTGTTATTCTGCAAGATGTCCTGCGACGAAGAAATCACTATATTACTTAATCTCTTAAAATGAATTTGTCAAAAATGTCATAGCGAAAAAGCAGCCCTGCTCTTAACAAAAAAACGAAAATCTTACCACCAAAGTAACGTGCAAACTTTTTTGTCCTATATTGGACCCAAAATAAAGTAGTTCTATATTATTACCGACTGAGATAGTTATAATTGTATATAGCGTCATCTAATGATTTGACTTTAAGGTAACTATTTATAGAACTCTTGTTTTACATACAATCTGGTTAATATTTGGTTATAATTATCAAATATTTTTGACTGTGTAGTAATGTGTAATTTTTTTATATAGATATTTTGGAAATATAGTGCACTTTTTTAACATAGAAGAGCTGAACTTTTTATAAAAAATAAAAAATGTGACCGAAATTTTGTATTTATTTTTATTAAAAATGAATTTGTATTAAAAATAAACTAAATTATATTTTGGTAAAAAAACAAATAAATTTAATAAATTATATCATAAAAATAAAATTGTGTCCAAATTAATATTTTTAAGAAAATAAGTCTCTAAATTAAAGTACTTTTGGATTTTAATAAATTAATTTTTAAAAAAGTCTTTACAAAATAAAAGTTTCTGAGACTCCAGGTATAATTATTTAATTAATTTATAACCAGTATAGGTATACACAATACGTGTATTCGAGAACGTGCTGTGTTATAAATACCAATTACCAAAGTTTCACCTTAACCAGATTTTATTGTTTTGCTGCAATTAACAGGGACTAAATAGTTCGATTAGCTTTCCAAAAACTTTGATGTTGCTTATATGAAATTAATTATAACAAAGTTTATATTTTCCAGTCACTATGGATTTGAGAAACATTTTAGTTGAGACAAATAGAATTCGTGATCCAAAATAAATCAAAAAGTTGTTATAAAATAATATAACTTTTGAGTTATAGTAAATATGGTCTTAGGCAAAGTTAAAAAAATTAAAATCCGGTTACGAATTCGCGAGTTAGAGCCAAAAAAGGTGTGATATAAATAAAACAAAGAATTCCATACAAAAATTTATAAAAAAACTGTTTTATTTTCTTCGTTAAAGTATTTGAATTGATATATCAAACTACCTAAACATTAAAAAAATATTGTACACTTTAAACATTTAATACTATATTATGTACCAAGTTTGATAAACGCCATTTTATACTAATTAATGAGTGTATAGAAAAGTTTATAAACGAGGTGCTTACTATACTTTTTCTACGACAAATACTTATTATTATCTTAAAATGATTTAAATCAAAAATTTGTATAGAGCGCCATCTATGAAACAATAGGGGAATCTGTGTGTCACCGTCAAATGTCACAATTTTATATTTTATAAACACAGATTACAAAGGTTATAAATCGAAAAGTATTTCTTGAAAATTTACAGTGAAAGTAAAGAAAATGTTTTATGAGGACTTTACAGTGTAGTCCGTGCCCGAATTTAAGTTAAAGTTTACTGCCGGCGAAATTAAAAGGTCAGTTAATATTGGCGTTGAGAAACTATTTAATACTTTTGTATTTTTGTGTTGAGATAATAAAATAATTTTCACATTTAGTATTATTTTACAAGAAAGGCACTTTATTTCAACGATTGTATGACATTTGACAACTGTCAACTAACTTAAAACTAACTTCAGCCCGTGACTAAAAACCTGTTGCTAACTTCAGCCCGTGAGTAAGCGCCGTAAAGCCACAACTTGTCAATGTGTATTTAAAAGGTCACTAAGTGTCATGGAAACATGTACGATAAAGGGCGTTTTAAAGGTGGGAGTAGAAAAAATATTTTATATTTATATAACCTTTTTTGGCTTAACTTAAAAATCAAGATTAAATTTTTAATAATAATTAAACAAATAAAATTTTTAAAAATCCATTGTTTTTAGTATACTATAGAATAACGTAGGTAGGTACCTATATTTTATCCTTTTGGGAAATATATGTATCTATTTTTCACAACAAAGCACAGTGAATATAAATTGTAAAATTATTTTTGTTACATATTGGCAATATGATAACGTAAATATATTTTGTTTTAATTGGGTAACCTAAACATCAAGTACTATATTTTGTTTAAAAATTATATTTACAAATTTGCCAATTTACCAAATTACGTAACGAAATAAAATTATGTTTTACTAAATGATATATTTGCTTAGTGATTATAATTATGAATGTTTTAATTACTGGAATTTGTTAATTATTTACAAGTGTAAATGCAAATTGATTTTTGCAATTTTATAATATAAATTGAATAAAATAATAAAAAGCAATCAGATCACAGCATTCTCAACAGAGCACTATCTATAAGTTTAGTTACATCAAAACTTACAATATTCATTTGCTGATCCTGGATCTCCTTATAGACCTCCACGATTTTCATTAGAGCCGCACCTGCAACAATGAAGAAAACGATTGTTAAGGATTTAGGTAAAAAAAGGAATGAAAAAATAATGTTTAAATTCAATTTAGGCAAACATTCTAAATGCAAAAATAACGGTGAAATTCAAATAGACTTCTCGACCCGAAATCGTTTATCTTGCTTTCCGATAATGTTTATCCTTCGATTAAGCTGTCCCATTTGGGGGTTCCCCGCTTGCCGCCACTGTGTTCAGTTACCAACAGAAACGGTTTGGTTAAGTTCTTCGAGCAATTTTAAATAGTTTGTTTGAATTTAAATATGGAGCGTGAAATTCAATTAGTTACTGCAGTTATTTAGGTTTTTAAGTAACAAAGATGATTTTTTTTATTTTTGATTTGGGTCATTTTCATGAAACACCCGCTTTCAGGAAAATGAAGATCAAAATTTTTTTTGCTTAAATTGACTTTTGTTTGGATTTTTATAAATGTTAAGACTTTTGTTTACTTACATTTAAGACAGGCAGTGCACTTTAAATTTTTTTTTAATAATATTATCTCCACTGTGTTACCAATTTGAAATCCAAAATTTAATTCAATAAAGAAAAGTTGTTATAAAAATAATTTGAAATAAAATGTACTTAGTTCACAAACTTTTGACTCCAATTTTTTATTTTATTTTTTATTAAAAATTGTATGCTTTTTTTAAATATTTATGTTCGTTAAGTTACTTTAAAAAAAAAACCATTCCGATTCTTTGTTAAAAAACAATACCATTAATATTTTTTTTTAGTCACTGTATTAGTGAGTTAAACTCTAATTTATAAACACATATTACCAAGTGATAGTGTATAAAAATCATTTTAAGTATTTTTTTAACAAAAACTAAAAAAAGTAACGAAATAGACATTGGTATCACAACGGACAGGGGTACACAAAGAACGTAAAAAAGAAACTATATAGGGTGGTACGATTTTAGAGTAATGTATAAACAAAATCCCTTGTAGGGGTGCTCACTTGCAGAATAACAACTTAGATTTCTAAATTATAGACACCCTTTTTCTTTGAATATAAGCTGGTGAAGGTCTTGCGTCCCTTTTAATACTTGTATATTGCGTGGAATTTTCCCTTGGATGTAATCTATATCATGAGTTGTAATCACAAATAATTTTAAATTGGTTTATCATAAACTATTTTTAATAAAAGCGACGGTAAATATCCACTTTGTTGTCGAAAAATTCTATTGCGTTACCCTAAATTCCATTGCGTTACCATAAGGTAACATAATGGACTCGGTAACGCAGTGGAAAAAGTTTTGTAAAACCATATTTAAAAAATAATAATAAGACATTACAGTCATTAATTATTCTCAATGAGCTCCATTGCCCTAAAATAAACATAAACATGAAAAATAGTATGTTTTCTTACCTTATTTTTATTATTTTTTTTTTTTTTTGAGTAACTTAGCAGACAAACAATTATTACATTCGCGTTATCCGCACCTGTTTCAACCGATATCTTCTTCCTGATTGAATAAATAAATTTAGCTGGGTAATGTGTACGTCCGAACATCATTTGTTGATCACGTGAGAGCCAAAAAAGTTGCCATATATATGTTTTTTTTTAATATTCTATCGGTAACGCGACGGACGTAACGCAACGGAAAAAATGTCTGGGACATATTAGGGTTCTTATAAAAAAATTATAAATTAAAATAAATGACATATGCAAGAAAACATTTCATAAACAATATGCATCTGGATTATAGCCAGTATTAAACAACTGGAATCAAAATTATAACAGTTACTCCACAGCTTATTGTCTTCATAAACGAATATGATTGTAACTAAGCATCCTATTATTGTCTTTATGAGACTCGTCTTAACAATACTGGTTTATAGAAACATTTCTTTCAGTGAACTATAAGAAAAATTAAGTTAACAGTTAACAAAGCTCACGTTTGGTAATAATCCTGAAAATCCTTAAAATAGACGCATTTCTCCGGAGAGAAGTCGGTCGTTCCGAAACTTAACTCCGTTCTAGAACGTTGGAAACGCTCTAAAGACACGCAGTAACATTCCCGGCATGTACAACATATTTATTTTTAGCCCCGACGAGCAAAAGCAACAGAACATAACAGATAAAGTTTGCATGAAACAAACACACCCGGCGGAGGCCGAAGTATCATAAATTCCGGGATTTTTTAAATCCCGAAGGCGCGCGTCACGCCCGGACTGCCCGGAACATGTGACGGCTTAGGTTTTTATCGGAATAGACAGTTTTAGATGCGAAACGATGCCAAAGATCACCGCGGGATTTACTGTTAACAATTCTATAGATATATTTATATATAAATACTAAATTAAGCATAAAAAAATTTAAAATGTATTTTACTTCCCAAGTAGCGCAACTAGTTAAATTTACGTTAAATTTACGTTAAATTAACCTTAAATTAATGTTATGTTAGTTAAATTTAACTTCCTGGTTAATGTACCTTTTGGTTAAAAAGAAGGCTATATTTGGTAGTTTTTGGTTTATGTTACCTTTTTTAATTTCTTTTTAACTTTTAAGTCAACTTAAACTATAATATATTAATATCTTAAAGGGGTAGTTCTAAGGGAAAAACCAATGGGACATTTTTTTCTAATGAAGTAGTACATAATACATGTAATTGTATTTGAACCATTTGGTTATTTTATAGTGTTTAATTTAACTACTTTATTTGGTTTGGTTTAAATTCGTTTAATGTAACACATTATAGTTTATTTTTAAAATGACTAACCTAAAAAAATTTCCGCCGATCTTACGTTCTGATTTTAGTTGCAGCCCTGCTTTATTTTTATAAAACGTATCTGTTATGTGATGCTTACCAAATTACCAAAGTTAAGATAACGTGATGTAACTTTTAAAGTAACCTACTTTTGAACTTATAAGTAATATTACCAACTAGTTAAATATTTGGTTTATTTATAGTCAATATTACCATATTACCAATAAGTTTCTTTAATTAGTTAGGTATATTATACTAAAAAATAACCTTTGAATTTACCTTAAGGTTATAGAAACCGGTTGGTTATTTTTTAGTAACCTTAAAAAAATGTTAATAAGGTGAGTACAACTTTAGTTAATTAACCAGTTATGTTACTTGGGTTGTCTCCAATTTTTATCCCAATATTCAGTTTTTTATATAAAGGTATGCTATTCTGTATTTACTATTATTTTATGGAAAACCTTCTCTCTAAAAATAAATTAGCCAAAAATGACTAATTCTCTTAGCGAACAAGCATCCACTAAAAATTCTCGTCAATAGCAATTTGTATCCCGTTAATTTAGCAGTCAATTGCCATGTAAAATTGTCCCCTGAATCCAAGAATGTCGTCAAAAGTTAGAAATCGTCGCCTTCAGGAGAAAATTGCTTAACTCCATGTTGTAAAATTTTACAGGAGGAAAGAAAAACATATTAAAGGTGTATTGGTGTATCTCCACATTACCGCCAAAAAATTGTTTAATGGAAAATTACGTATCTCCAATATGTACTTTATGTTAATAAAAGTAACCTTAAATTATTCATGGTACCTTAACTTTACACACTATACAATCTTTCATACTTACATACAGAAAAAATAACTAGGCAATAACTTATACTTGTCAATGGCACTGATTTGTATATTGGAGTTAGGCATTATTCCCTGGACGCTCCTCCACGATTGGAGATACGTATATTTCTTTTTCTAAATTTAAAATTAACGGTTTATTTTAGGACTTCTGTAACTTGCATATAAATTAGTTACAGTTTTATCTAACAGATGCCACTAAAATACAATTTTAATGAAAATGTGGAGTTACGTGATTTTCTCCTGAAGGCGACGAAATGTAGAACAGTTTTTGAGATTTAGTCAATTTTCCATATAATATGGAATTGACTATATCTCAAAAACTGCTCTACTTTCATAATTTTTGACGGTTTTTTCGGATTCAAGGGACAATTGTACTTAAGAACTTTTTTGCTTCCTATCTGAGTAAAAGATACCAGTAAGTTTTCTACAATGGTTTTAAAAGTTTAAAATTTTTATCAACCTCTGGTGTACCTCAAGGTTTCAATCTAGGTCCCTTTTTCTTCACAATCTTTATAAATGACATAGCCGACAACATTGTTTGTGAAGAGCTTTTGTTTGCTGATGATTTAAAAATCTTTCAGTGCAAAAGGAATCAGTTAGGTCTTACGTAAGCAAATAAGTGTAAATTAATAACATAAACCAAAAAGAAGAATAAAATTAATTTTGACTACACCTTATATCAAAGTTTGCTTTTGGGTCATTAAAGACCTGGGAGTATTATTTTATAACAAACTTAATTTTCTTGACCACATTAAACCTTATATTACTCATTTGTATGCTCTAAGCTTGAGAATGGTTTTTAATTTTCAATCCTATATACGCTTTGATATGATTATAAATAACTTGGAGAAAACTCTACGCAAGTTTTTATAATTTTTGTCTTAAAAAAGGTGTATATCCATTTTAGGGTTATGAACACCATATTTTTTTAAAACAATTTCCCTGCATCTGAAGGGAACGAAGTGTTAAATTTTTGTATAATTTGGTACTTAACAAAATAGACGCACCTTACCAACCTTACATTTTACTGTCGCTAGATCTAATATTATGCTTAAGTCTACAAAAAACTAATTTCAATAAATATTGCAATAATTTTGACATAAACTTTGATAGCATTGTATTTATAGTTAGTCACTTAACCAGAAATTTTCCAACATAATTTTATTATATTTTATTTTTTGCTTGTATAGGTATTATTTTATTTTTATTAACTATTAATATTATAAGATTTGGCTCTTAAATGTTGGGGATACCATGGTATCCCATGGTTAACCATTGTATTAGTGAAAAAGCAGCCACTAAAAACTGTCGTAACTAGTCATTTCTGACTTTTTGACATATTTTAAAGAATAATATTACACAGTAAAAAATTTTGCCCGTGTAAATTTTTTAGTGTAGGGGTAAAAATATTAGAGTTGAT